AACGTCAGGAGAGAATGCCTCTAGAACATGGCCATATAGCACAAAAAAACCTACAACAACCCAGTGATTCCAGCCATGAAAGCAATTAAAGGGATGTCAACCTGACTTAATTCTACAATGTAGATGCACCCAACATCTCATGAAACCACAACTCCCAGGGATCCATAGAATTGAGCTATGACAGTTTAAGGGATGCCAAACTGCATTAATTCTGCAATGTAGATGCACCCAACATCTCACAAAACCACGACTCCCAGGGTTCCATAGTATTGAGCAATGGCAGTTCAAGAGATGCCAAACTAGGTTCTTGTGGGGGTTTTTTGGGGCTATATGGCCATGTTCTAGAGGCATTTCTCCTGATGTTTCGCCTGCATCTATGGCAAGCATCCTCAGAGGTAGACCTCACTACCTCTGAGGATGCTTGCCATAGAGGCAGGCGAAACGTCAGGAGAGAATGCCTCTAGAACATGGCCATATAGCCCAAAAAACCCCACAAGAACCTAGTGATTCCAGCCATGAAAGCCTTCGACAATACAGATGCCAAACTGCATTAATTCTACAATGTAGATGCACCCAACATCTCATGAAACCCCAACTCCCAGGGATCCATAGACCTGAGCTATGGGGGTTCAAGGGATGCCAAACTGCATGCCTTCCGCAATGCCTTCATTCCTCTTCCTCCCTTTTTGGCCGGCCGGCCTTGTCTTATTTTCCAGATTCCTTGGCTCCTTCCTCCCTCCTCCGCCTTTTGAGGAAAATTCTCCCTCATTGCGGTTTTGCATTGACTTGACTTCTGGCAGGAACATCAATCACGTGGCTTTGTGGAAATCAGGCGTCATGGGTCCCGCTGGCCTTGGCTTTCTGTTTCCCGTTCTTGAGCTTGAGGATCTCGTCGGTTCCTTCAGAGCCGCCTCTTCGCCTTGACCGCCTTGGCCTTTCTGGGCCAGTTTTGGCTCAAAGGAGTGCTCTTCGGCCTGTTTAACGCTCCCATTGTCACTTCTAAAGTTATGTAATCTTTCTGGGGTGATTCCTCTCGGCCAGTAATTCCCTCCCTGACGTTGGAGAGGCCCCAGCTTGGCCGGGCTTCATTTCTTTCTCTTCCCTCCCTCCTTTATCCTTCCCCTTCTGCCCCTTCTTCTCGTCCTTCCTTCCTTCTTTAATAATAATAGTAATCATCATCATCATCATCATCATCAAATGATGATGATGATGCATTGGAACTTGTGCCACAAATATCACTGCCTGTGACAAAGAACTGGAGGGATCACAAGCCTGGAAAAAGTTGTGGAAAATGAACACGTCACCCTCCTCAGGGACTTCCGAATCCAGACTGACAGAGTTTTGGACTCATGCTCATGAGAGAAAAACAAAGTATGGATCATCAATGTTGCAGTCAGGCGACAGCAGAATGGGCGAAAAGCAACTGGAAAAGCTTGCACAAGGATTTAAAGATTGAACTGCAAAGACTCTGGCACAAGCCAGTCAAGGGGGTCCCAGTGGTGATGGGCACACTGGGTGCAGTGCCTCAAGACCTTGACCTGCACTTAAACACAATTAGCGCTGACAGAATTACCACCTGCCAGCTGCAAAAGGCCACCTTACTGGGATCTGCACACATTATTCGCCGATACATCACACAGTCCTAGACACTTCGGAAGGGTCCGACGGAAATGTTCTGGCATAAACGGATCACCCAGTGGTGATCGGCATACTGGGTGCAGTGCCTCAAGACCTTGGCCTGCACTTAAACACAATCAGCACCGACAAAATCACCACCGGTCAACTGCAAAAGGCCACCTTACTGGGATCTGCGCCCATTATTTGCTGATACATCACACAGTCCTAGACACTTGGGAAGGGTCCGATGTGTGATGCAATTCAACAGCCAGCAGAGTGATCTTGTTTGCTGTGGACTCATCTTGTTATGTATCTAATAACAACAACAACAACAATAATAATAATAATGATGATGATGATGTACTGTCGAAGCTGTGCCGTCGCGCTTGGGGGCTATTAGTCTTAAAAGGAGGATGGACGTGGCATCTTTCCCCCAAGGGATTGCTTCTTGCCCTCCTTTAGGAAACTGGAACTCCCAAGAACCCAAAACGATGTAAATAACTCAAAACAAGTTTTATTTGTCACAAAGTCATTTCTTCAATGCAATAAACTGGAAAACTTTAGCAGGGTGAAGGAAAAACACACTTTACAGTCTCTATTAGTCCTGGGTCCAAGGGATTTGAAGCTGAGAAGCCTCACCAGGTTTCCTCTTCCTCAATGGTTGTGAGTGCCGGAGCAAAACCACAACCCCAATTCAAATGGCCTATTTTGAAGATTCAGGATCTTCCTCTGGTGCCAAAAGAACTGGCTTGAAGGCGCCTGGGTCTCCTCAGTATCCGTCCAGGATGATCTGGACATAAAGCATGAGTCCCAGGGGTAAAAAACCTCAGAATTGGTGCTAAGAGGTAACTTAAAAGGGTCCTTTAGAATGAAGTCTTTTACTCACGTCCATGTTGCAGGAACTCTCATGGCTGAATGAAAAGAAAAGGAAGTTCTCCCCTCTTGCAGGAAGAGGTGGAGCCAAACAGTGCTGATTGACAGCTACAAGTAACCAATCCATACAAATATACAGAAACATGGCAAAAGGGGCAGGATTAAGCATGATACAACAGTTTAAATCTTACAACTAACAGTTCTATACATAGGTGGCGCCACTCGTGCCGTCACAAAGGCTTTCATGGCTGGAATCACTGGGTTGTTGTAGTTTTTTTCTGGCTATATGGCCATGGTCTAGAGGCATGTCCATACAGCCCAAAAAAACCTACAACAACCCAATAATAATAATAATAATAATAATAATAATAATAATAATAATAATAATAATTTATCATGTCAGGAGCAAACCAAACAGTTGTATTGCATTTTTAATAAACAAACCACAAAGTTTGCAAGCTTGGTAGTTAATTAAATGTCCTTTGACCAGTATCTGGCCACTTGGAGTGCCTCTGGTGTTGCCGCAAATAGGTCCTCCCTTGTGCATCATGTGGCAGGGCTCAGTGGTGTGCTTTTCTCCACACTCGCATGTCGTGGATTCCACTTTGTGGCCCCATTTCTTGAGGTTGGCTCTGCATCTTGTGGTGCCAGAGCGCAGTCTGTTCAGTGCCTTCCAAGTCGCCCAGTCCTCTGTGTGCTCAGGGGGGAGTCTCTCATCTGGTATCACTCACAGATTGAGGTGCTGGGTTTGAGCCTGCCACTTTTGGACTCTCGCTTGCTGGGGTGTTCCCGCGAGTGTCTCTGTAGATCTGTAAAACTATTTCTTGATTTAAGTCGTTGACGTGCTGGCTGATACCCAAACAAGGGATGAGCTGGAGATGTCTCTGCTTTGGTCCTTTCACTATTGGCTGCTACTTCCTGGCGGATGTCAGGTGGTGCAATACCGGCTAAGCAGTGTAATTTCTCCAGTGGTGTAGGGCGCAGACACCCTGTGATAATGCGGCATGTCTCATTAAGAGCCACATCCACTATTTTAGCATGGTGAGATGTGTTCCACACTGGGCATGCTTACTCAGCAGCAGAGTAGCATAGCGCAAGGGCAGATGTCTTCACTGTGTCTGGTTGTGATCCCCAGGTTGTGCCAGTCAGCTTTCATATGATATTGTTTCTAGCACCCACTTTTTGCTTGATGTTCAGGCAGTGCTTCTTGTAGGTCAGAGCACGGTCCAGAGTGACTCCCAGGTATTTGGGTGCGCTGCAATGCTCCAGTGGGATTCCTTCCCAGGTAATAATCCTCAGACCTCGGGATGCTCCTCTGTTCTGTCCTATCTCTGCAAAGGCACTCAGGGTGGTGAGTCTTCTCATACACATGTTCCCTTTCTTTCCCAGTTACATTGCAGAGGGCCACCTCACCTAACAACAGCCTTTGTAATGCATACTGTACATACATATTTCCACTTCGTTGTGTATGAATGTATATATGCACAAAATATAATTGGGCCAGGTGTTGGGAGTCTGCCAGGTTCTTTGGACTGTGAGCCTAGATGTTGGATTCTTTAAGGAAACATGTCTTCTGGGACCTTTGCTTTGAAGGCGCTCTCCTGCCGTTGTTGTCAATCGGCAATCCCTGTGTTTTGTGTCTCCACTGACGAAATTGGGATATTGTTGTGTCCATAGGCAAGACAATGTTGACACACAATCAACAAAGGACTTGAGACCAGATTCGTGGTTGGAATCACTGGGTTGTTGTAGGTTTTTTGGGCTATATGGCCATGTTCTAGAAGCATTCTCTCCTGACATTTTGCCTACATTTATGGCAAGCATCTTCAGAGGTTGTGAGGTCTGTTGGAGCTATGGAAATTGGCCCATGAGGTCTCTTTGAACTCTAGGATTCTATGATTCTATGATTCTTAAGCATACAGTTCTGTTACAAAATGGAGTCTGAGTCCTGAACAAGACCAGTTCGGATCACATGTTCTGTAACCCCTCCCACAACAAAGAGTTACGGTGAAATTGAATACCAATACACACTTGTCTGGGTGGCCATCTGTCAGGGGTGATTTAAATGCAATATTCCTGCTTCTTGGCAAGGGGTTGGACTGGATGGCCCATGAGGTCTCTTCCAACTCTTTGATTCTATGATTTAATTCTATGATTCTATGATTCTTAAGCATACAGTTCTGTTACAAAATGGAGTCTGAGTCCTGAACAAGCCCAGTTTGGATCACATGTTCTGTAGCCCCTCCCACAGCAAAGAGTTAAGGTGAAATTGCATATCAACACACACATATACAATATAGTAAGCAAATATATGCATAACAAATAGTGGAGGCTTGAGAAGGTTGCCACCCCCCCCCCTGAGGTTCTTGTTGGGGGGAGATATTGGTGACCCCTCCCCGCCCTGGATGACTTCCTAGTGTTGCCCAAGTCCTTCCTCTGCCCTTTGACCTCTGCTCACTTCCCATCCGAGTGACCCCCCTTTGCATGTGTTCTTTCTCTCTCTGCAGGACCCCCCCGAACTCTGATGTGATGCTCCCTGGGCTCTCCTTCCATGGGCAGCCCCTGCGCAGGAGGACCCTCCTTTGAGCCACGGCAATGATGATGGACAGCCCCCCCAAGCTGTCCGGAGAGACGCTGATCGTCCACCACATCCCGCTGGTGCATTGCCAGGTGCCTGACCGGCAGTGCAAGCGCAGCAACCCCTTTGGCCAGCCGGACCTGGGCCCGCTGCGGACGGCTCCCCTCCCGGAGCAGGACTTCCTTCAGTCCGATTCCTTGGCCCACCTCCGCCGCATCCCCTCTGACCCCACAGAGCCGGTCCCGGCCTTGGAGACCCCGCCGGAGGAGGGCCGGGCCTGGGACCCTGGGGCCAGCAGGCGGCAGAACCCTTTCCTGCTGAGCGAGGATGAGGAGCCCCCCGAAGACGATGGGCCCTTGGGGCAGCGGTCCTTCCGCCTGCACAGCCACGGCCAGCCCGCCTTCCACTTGCACAGTGAGCTGAGCCTGCCACCCTTCCGCCTCCACAATGCCGGTCACGGGGTCAAGCCGTGGGGAAGCGCCGCTGCGGCTGGACAGCGCTCGGACAACGCAGTGGACGGCCAGGAGGACAGAGGGAAAAAGAGGCGGCCGGAGAGCATGGAGCTGGACGAGTACAGCTGCCAACGCGAGAGGGACCCCTCGGACTCTTCCTCGGAGCAGGACTGGGCTGCCGACCCCGACAGCGACCTGGGCCCCGGTCCAGAGGCGCCCCGCAGCCGGACGTGCAGCTGCTCCTCGGGCTCGGAGATCCAGCGCTGCAGGTGCTGCAGCCTCTCCAGCCAGTCGGAGCCGCTGGACCACCAGATGGGCTACGCCAGCGACTCCTCCTGCAACAGCTCCGATGGCGTCCTGGTCAATTTCAGCACCCTCTACCACAAGATGAACGGTCACCCGCCCAACCTCAACTCCTGCGAGGAGGAGTCCTCCTCCGGCGGCAGCCATTCGGACACTGGCGGCGGGGGGGCCTTCTACCTGGACCTGCACTCCTCCCCGCAGGAGGCCAAACTGCGCTGCCCGGAGCCCTTGGGCACGGCCTGCCCCTGCCACGGACCCTCCTCCCCGGTCCTGGACGCCAACTGCAACTCCTACGACCCCTGTGGCTCTGGCGGCTCCTCCTCGGACCTGACCGCCTGCTTCCAGAGCCAGGCCCGGCTAGTGGTGGCCACCCAGAACTACTACAAGCTGGTCACCTGTGACCTGTCCTCGCAGTCGTCCCCCAGCCCGGCTGGGTCCTCCATCACCAGCTGCTCTGAGGAGCAGGCACGGGTCAGCAGCCCCCCGCTCCAGCCCACCGAGTACTACCTGTTCCAGCGTCCGGCAGAGAGTGGTGGTGACGAACCTCAAGGTCTAGAGGCCGGCGATGCCGCAGAACCCAATGCCAACACTGTGGAGGGCCAGCTGTACGTCAACATTTCCCCACCCACTTTGGCCACCGGGCGCCAGCGCTCCCGCAGCTACGACCGCAACCTGGACCGCAGCCCCTCCGCCGCGGGCCGGCTGGGCTCCCTGGAGCGCATGATGAGCTGCCCGGTCAAGCTGAGCGAGGGACCCCACAGCCTGGCCTTGCAGAGCTCCCCGCCCAAGCGGGTGACCTCCTTCGCGGAGCTGGCCAAGGGCCGCAAGAAGAACGGCGGTGGTGGCAGCAGCAGCAGCAGCAGCGGTAACAACAACTGCAGCAGTGGGTGCTCCCCTCCCTTCCGGGCCAGCCGGGACTCCTCCCTGGAGTTCTCCCCCATCCCGGAGCACCGGAGGGGCGGCAGCAGTGGCGGCGGAGGCAGCGGCTCCGTCTTCCTGGAGGACCGGGGCCCCCGGCACAGCCAGAGCCTGCCCCCCATGCCCTGGATCCACTCCCTGCAGCGCAGCCCCGAGGAGGACGACGAGGAGGAGGGCCACAGCAGCCGGCCCCAGGACACCCCTCCCTGTGGGCAGCAGTCCTTCTTCCCCACCTTGGCGGAGGCAGGCAGCCTGGGCCAGAAGGACGTCCGCGCTCGGGCCGACGGTGAGTCCATTGAAATCTGCTATGGAGGCGGACTCCCCGTGTGCAAATATTGGGGTATCAAGGAAACACAGATATCTATAACAATAACAAAATACAGGTTGCAAATTGTTATCCAAACAAAATTCTGTTAACATATGAATATACTGAATATAAACCACACAAAGAAATTACAAGTCTGAGTGCTACTTGGTTATCTCGTAGTCCTTGAAAAAGTCTTCAAAATGCAGTCCAAATAAATCAAATTGCTGTCCAATTCAAAACATTATCCAAATTATAATGCTTGCTGTCCAGTTCAAAGTATTGTCCAAATATTAATGCTTATCCAAATTATAATGCGACAAGGGTTGAGGTTGAGGTTGCCTTGTTTCGGGGGACTTCCCCTTCTTCAGGATTTTGTCTTCTTTATAACTTTGGGTGGTTCACCATGCATTCCTAAACGGGTGATAACAAACAACATAATAGATATGCCAAAAAAGAAACACTGCCCTAAGGATTCGAGGCTTCCAAAACTTGAAGCCGGTAGATGTATGTCCTTTCTCCAGAAAATGAGAATGAAGAGTACTATCATTGTATTTGTGTTTTATGCATGAGCGATGTTCCATAATTCTGACCTTGACAGATCTACTTGTCATTCCAATATAAAGAAGGTCACATGGGCATAAAATACTATATATCGCGTTTTCTGTGGAGCAGGTTCAAGTTTTGCATCATAGAAAAAATTCACACTAAGCCACATATGGATACTAAGAATTATCTTTTGCAAAGGGAAGCATTTTGGATTTTTAAGTTAAACACCGTTTTTCCTACCGGTCTTAACGATAGACTGGACCTCAGCTGTTTTTTGTAATGAGCCCTATTATCCACCTTATCGACTTGTAATTTACATTCCAGCTGACTGTTTGTAATTAGCCTTGCCTTTAAATCCTTGCTTCTGTGTAACTGCATTGCTCACTATTGAAGACCAAACTGTAGGGCCAGCGCCATCTCGTTAATAACGTGAGTAATAATGTGTGTGTAGTCTTTTTCACTGGAATGCATGCCATTATCACGAAATGTTTTTGGTCTGGGTGCCTTTTTTGGCATATCTATTATGTTGTTTGTTATCACCCGTTTAGGACTACGAGATAACCAAGTAGCACTCAGACTTGTAATTTCTTTGTGTGGTTTTGTTGTTGTTGTTCATTCGTTCAGTCGTCTCCGACTCTTCGTGACCTCATGGACCAGCCCACGCCAGAGCTCCCTGTTGGCCGTCCACCCCCAGCTCCTTCAAGGTCAGTCCAGTCACTTCAAGGATGCCATCCATCCATCCTTGCCCTTGGTCGGCCCCTCTTCCTTTTGCCTTCCACTTTCCCCAGCATCATTGTCTTCTCTAGGCTTTGCTGTCTCCTCAGGATGTGGCCAAAGGACTTCCACTTGTGTGGTTTATATTCAGTGTATTCACACAGTTTATGTTAACAGAGTTTTGTTTGGATAACAATTTGCAACTTGTATTTTGCAAATATTGGGGAGCATCTGATGCTGTTTTGTAGAGTGATAGGCTTGGCAGATACAGGGAAATTTGGGGGTGGAGCACACCTTGATTTCAGGAAGGCCTGTGACAAGGTGGCATTCCCCCACAGAAGACAGGGAAATAGGGGCTGGACAGTGGCCAGAGTGGGAATTGATTGGGAATTGATTGACTGGCCCAACCCAGATTGGGAATTGATTAACTGGCCCAACCCAGATTGGGAATTGATTGATTGGCCCAACCCAGATTGGGAATTGATTGACTGGCCCAACCCAGATTGGGAATTGATTGACTGGCCCAACCCAGATTGGGAATTGATTGATTGGCCCAACCCAGATTGGGAATTGATTGACTGGCCCAACCCAGATTGGGAATTGATTGACTGGCCCAACCCAGATTGGGAATTGATTGATTGGCCCAACCCAGATTGGGAATTGATTGACTGGCCCAACCCAGATTGGGAATTGATTGACTGGCCCAACCCAGATTGGGAATTGATTGACTGGCCCAACCCAGATTGGGAATTGATTGACTGGCCCAACCCAGATTGGGAATTGATTGACTGGCCCAACCCAGATTGGGAATTGATTGACTGGCCCAACCCAGATTGGGAATTGATTGACTGGCCCAACCCAGATTGGGAATTGATTGACTGGCCCAACCCAGATTGGGAATTGATTGACTGGCCCAACCCAGATTGGGAATTGATTGACTGGCCCAACCCAGATTGGGAATTGATTGACTGGCCCAACCCAGATTGGGAATTGATTGACTGGCCAAACCCAGATTGGGAATTGATTGACTGGCCCAACCCAGATTGGGAATTGATTGACTGGCCCAACCCAGATTGGGAATTGATTGACTGGCCCAACCCAGATTGGGAATTGATTGACTGGCCAAACCCAGATTGGGAATTGATTGACTGGCCCAACTCAGATTGGGAATTGATTGACTGGCCCAGCCCAAAGGGTGCTTCTGTCCAGTGGTGCCTCTTTCTTCCTCCTGAAGGGAAGGGGCTAGTAGGGGTGGTGGGTGGGGGGCATGAAGAGGACCCCGTCCTGGTCCTTTCGGGGCTGTTCCACCTCTTTATCAATGGCTTATGGTGCTTCTCCTGCATGTCAGATTAGGGCTGGACTGGATGGCCCAAGAGGTCTCTTCCGACTCCATGATTCTAGGACTCCCTGTCACTAAATCCCACCGAGTGCCACACTTAAAATCCAGGAAGCCACTCTTGTCATCACATTCGTTTGGCTTCAAGTGTAGGAGAGAGAGAGAGAGAGAGAGCAGCCTTTGTGGATTTTGAGTATGGGCACCAGCATTGTTTTCAAATGTTTCATGAGGTGGTGAGGAAGGGGATTTTTGGTAATAATCCAGATGTTTGGCCATTTCTGCAATGTGATGGCATTTGTTGCTCCCAGGTTTACAATGAAAGGTTTCCCCAAATTGTGGGAGGGGAAATTGTGGGAGGAGCCAAAAGTACCTTGTTAGAGAAAGCTCCCTTTTGCTCACTGAGTTTTTACTTTGCCAGAACAGTCCCTTTGTAAAAAATAGCTTTTCTGGGTCCTTCCTTTCCCTTCCCTTCTGTGGTATGTCTGTGCCTTGTGTTACATAAGAAACCTGGGAGAAAAGGATTACTATTATTATTATTATTATTATTATTATTATTATTATTATTATTATTATGCCATGTCTCCATGTTGTGCAATCCTGGGAGTTATAGTTTTCCAAGCTCTATACCCTGCTCTTGGTGCATTTACACTATGGAACAAATGCTCTTGGACCTCACTTTAAATACCATAGCGCCATGCTATGCAGTCCTGGGAATTATAGTTTCCCAATGCCCATACCCTTCTCTGGATGCATCTGGACTGGAGAATAAATGCAGTTGGGACCCATTTTAAGTGCCTTATTATTATTATTATTATTATTATTATTATTATTATTATTATCATTATTATTAGGAGAAGTAGTAGTAGTGTTATTAATATTATTATTATGCCATATCACCATGCTGTGCAGTCCTGGGAGTTATAGTTTCCCAAGGTCCATACCCTTCTTTTGGTGCATTTACACCATGGAACGAATGCTCTTGGACCCCACTTTAAATGCTATGGCTCCATGTGATTGAGTCCTCCTGGAATTATAGTTTCCCAAGGTCCATATCATTCTCTTGGTGCATTTATACTATGGAATGAATGCTCTTGGACCCCATTTTAAATACCATAGCGCCATGCTAATGCGGTCCTGGGAGTTATAGTTCCCCTAGATCTAGTAGCCTTAGTGGACCACAAGCTGGACATGGGTCAAGCTCAAAAAGCCAATGCGATTCTTGGCGGCACCCATAAGAGCCTAGTCTTGAGAGCAAGGGAAGGCCCAGTCCCACGCCAATCTTCTTGCTTCGGTCAGACCTTCTGGGTTGGAGGGGGGGGGGTTGATTTTGCCATTTGGGAGTTGTAGTTGCTGGAATTTATAGCTAACCTACAATCAAAGGGCATTCTGATCTCCACCAATGATGGAATTGAACCAAACTTGGTCCCAGAACTCCCATAACCAATAGAAAACACTGGAAGGGTTTGGTAGGCATTGACCTTGAGTTTCGGAGTTGTAGTTCACCTACATCCGGAGAGCACTGTGGACTCAAACAATGAAGGATCTGGAGCAAACTTGGCAAGAATACCCAATATGCCCAAATTTGAACACTGGTGGAGTGTGGGGGAAATAGTTCTTGACATTGTAGTTGCTGGGATTTATAGTTCACCTACAATCAAAGAGATTTCTGAACACGACCAATGATAGAATTGAACCAAACTTGACACACAGAACCCCCATGACCAACAGAAAATACTGGAAGCGTTTGGTGACTCTAGGCCCGTCCTGCCCTGCTCGCGCTTCCCCCCCTCCCTTCCCCGGCCCCGCTCCCCAGCTCCCTTCCCCTCCCACCTTGAGTTTTGGAGTTGTAGTTTACCTACATCCAGAGAACACTGTGACCTCTAACAATGATGGCTCTGGACCAAAATTGGCACGGATACTCAATATGCCCAAATGTGAACACTGGTGGAATTTGGGGAAAATAGACCTTGACATTGTAGTTGCTGGGATTTATAGTTCACCTCCAATCAATGAGTATTCTGAACCCCACCAATGATATAACTGAACCAAATTTCCCACACAGCGCAACCAAGACCAACAGAAAATACTGATGGTCTTTGGGACCCCTCTGACACCCTCTCATGACCCCCCCCCCCCCAGGATGCTGCAATAAACCTATTCATGCTCCTGTTTTTGCACCTGTTGACCCATGGCCCTACCTGCTTTCCGGCCTGGGTCTTCCAGGGTCTTAGCGGAGGGTCTGATGGGAGGGGGCAGTGAGACTTTGCCCAGCCAAGGAGGTCCCTTGGAGGCGACAGGCCCCCCGCCTCCCCTCCCTTCCTCCTCCAGAGTATTTGGAGCTGGCCGTGACCCCTCTGCTTGCATTATGCGCATTCATGCTGCTTGCTGATAAGGAGCCTTGCAGACGGAGAGAGACGCCCTTGGTCTGCCTGGAGAGTGCTTCTTCCTCCTCCTCCTCCTCCTTGCAAGGGGACATGCCCTTCCTTTGCCTGCTTTTCTTGGCACCAGGTTTGGCTCAGGCTCCCCCTCTGCCCCCCCCCCCCCCAGGCCCCTTCCTTTTTGGGATCCTCCCCTGGATGTAGTTTCTATCTATACATGCCTGCCTTCTTTCCTTCTGGGGCATCTCCCTGAATGTGGCTGGGGAGCATGGAAGGGAGACACACCTGTTTGTGTGCTGGGGGTGGGGGCATCAGGGGTGGGGGCTGGTGTTGCGCGTGACCCCCCTCCAGCCCTCCCCCCAGGCCCGTTCCTAGAAGCCCTTTCCTCTGAAAAGAAGGCTCCCAAGAGCAAGAGAGAGGAGAGGAGGCTCCAGCCCTGAGCCTCAAGAGTGTCCTGGGTAGAGAGGGCTAAGATGGGTATTTGGGGGGGGGGGATTGTGGTTGTGTGGGGGGCTCCAAGGGCATTCCCCCTTTCTGCTGGGTCCCTTCATTCAGAGCTCAGTGGGGCTGCCCTAGGGCTCCCCAAGAAGGTTCCCTCTATCCTCCACTTATACAAAGTGCTGGTGCGTCTGTATCTAGCTCAGTGTTTCTCAACCTGGGGGTCGGGACCCTTAGGGGGGTCGCGAGGGGGTGTCAGAGGGGTCACCAAAGACAATTAGAAAACACAGTATTTTCTGTTGGTCATGGGGTTCTGTGTGGGAAGTTTGGCCCAATTCTATCATTGGTGGAGTTTAGAATGCTCTTTGATTATAGGTGAACTATAAATCCCAGCAACTACAACTCCCAAATGTCAAGGTCTATTTTCCCCAAACTCCACCAGTGTTCACATTTGGGCATATTGAGTATTCGTGCCAAGTTTGGTCCAGATCCATCATTGTTTGAGTCCACAGTTCTCTCTGAATGTAGGTGAACTACAACTCCAAAATTCAAGGTCAATGCCCACCCAACAAATCCTTCCAGCATTTTATGTTGGTCATGGGAGTTCTGTGTGCCAAATTTGGTTCAATTCCATTGTTGGCTGAGTTCAGAATCCTCTTTGATTGTAGGTGAACTATAAATCCCAGCCACTACAATTCCCAAATGTCAAGGTCTATCTTCCCCAAACTACACCAGTATCCACATTTGGTCACATTGAGTATTCATGCCAAGTTTGGTCCAGATGCATCCAGTGCTCTCTGGATGTAGGTAAACTATAACTCCAAAACCCAAGGTCAATGCCCACCACACTCTTTCAGAATTTGTTGTTGGTCATGGGAGCTCTGTGTCCCAAGTTTGATTCAATTGCCTCATTGGTGGAGTTCAGAATACTCTTTGATATTGTAGGTGAACTATAAATCCCAGCCACTACAACTCCCAAATGACAAATCATAGAATCAAAGAGTTGGAAGAGACCTCCTGGGCCATCCAGTCCAACCCCATTCTGCCAAGAAGCAGGAATATTGCATTCAAAGCACCCCTGACAGATGGCCATCCAGCCTCTGTTTAAAAGCTTCCAAAGAAGGAGCCTCCACCACACTCCCTCCTGGGCAGAGAGTTCCACTGCTGAACGGCTCTCACAGTCAGGAAGTTCTTCCTCAACCCCACCAGTATTCAAATTTGGGCGTATCGAGTATTTGTGCCAAATGAATGAAAATACATCCTGCATATTGGATATTTACAAGATGATTCATAACAGGAGTAAAATTATAGTTGTGAAGTAGCAATGAAAATAATGTTCTGGTTGGGGGTCACCACAACATGAGAGAACTGGATCAAGGGGTCGCGGCATTAGGAAGGTTGAGAACCACTGCTCTAGCTGCTGCTGCGGCACAAAAATATAATTGTCAATATATCCTAGATTTTCTAGGTGTGTGTGTGTGGGGGGGGGGGGGTTGTGAACCTCAGGAGGGGGCCCTGGGGCCCTCTCTGCTCCTGCATCCTCTTTTCTATCCCCTCCCCCCCCCAGGCAATGCAGGCAGCTTGGTTGGCCCTGAAACACACTGGCACTCCTTGGCATTATCACATAATCCTAATGATGGAAGGCACCCCCCTGGAAGGCCACCCAGTCCAACCCCCTTTCTTCTGCCAGGGAGGAAGGCAGCATTTAAGCTTGGTACTTGATTAGATATCCTTTGACCAGTATCTGCCCCCTTGGAGTGCCTCTGGTGTTGCTGCAAGAAGGTCCTCCATTGTGCATGTGGCAGGGCTCAGGTTGCATTGCAGCAGGTGGTCTGTGGTTTGCTCTTCTCCGCACTTGCATGTCGTGGATTCCACTTTGTAGCCCCATTTCTTAAGGTTGGCTCTGCATCTCGTGGTGCCAGAGCGCAGTCTGTTCAGCGCCTTCCAAGTCGCCCAGTCTTCTGTGTGCCCAGGGGGGAGTCTCTCATCTGGTATCAGCCATGGGTTGAGGTTCTAGGTTTGAGCCTGCCACTTTTGGACTCTCGCTTGCTGAGGTGTTCTGCCGAGTGTCTCTGTAGATCTTAGAAAACTATTTCTAGATTTAAGTCCTTGGCGTGCTGGCTGATACCCAAACAGGGGATGAGCTGGAGATGTCTCTGCCTTGGTCCTTTCACTATTGGCTGCTACTTCCCGGCAGATGTCAGGTGGTGCAATACCGGCTAAGCAGTGTAATTTCTCCAGTGGTGTAGGGCGCAGACACCCCGTGATAATGAGGCATGTCTCATTAAGAGCCACATCCACTGTTTTAGTGTGGTGAGATGTGTTCCACACTGGGCATGCGTACTCAGCAGCAGAGTAGCATAGCGCAAGGGCAGATGTCTTCACTGTGTCTGGTTGTGATCCCCAGGTTGTGCCAGTCAGCTTTCGTATGATATTGTTTCTAGCACCCACTTTTTGTTTGATGTTCAGGCAGTGCTTCTTGTAGGTCAGAGCACGGTCCAGAGTGACCCAGGTATTTGGGTGCGCTGTAATGCTCCAGTGGGATTCCTTCCCAGGTAATAATCCTCAGAGCTCGGGATGCTTCTCTGTTCTTGAGAAGAAAGGCACATGTCTGTGTTTTGATGGGTTGGGGATCCGCTGGTTTCCCCTGTAATAGGCAGTAAGGGCACCTAGAGCTTCGGAGAGCTTCTGTTCAACCATCTCAAAGCTCCCTGGCACCAGTAAGGGCACCTAGAGCTTCGGAGAGCTTCTGTTCCACCGTCTCAAAGCTCCCTGCTTGAGCGATGATGGCATGATCATCAGCATAGATGAAGCTCTCTGTCCCTTCTGGCAGTGGCTGGTCATTTGTGTAGATGTTGAACATGGATGGGGCAAGCACGCTCCCCTGAGGCAGGCCGTTCTTCTGTTTCCGCCACCTGCTTCTCTGGCCCTGGAATTCAACAAAAAAGCTCCTGTTTTGTAGCAGGTTTCCTGTGAGGCGGGTGAGGTGGTCGTCCTTGGTGATATTATATACTTTTCTCAGGAGGAGGCGGTGATTCATCAGCATAGATGAAACCCCATAGCATTGAACCAAGGCAGTTAAAGTGGATTCATTCTGCAGCAGGGATGCTCCCCAAGGTTGTCCTTTCAGTTGCTGGAAGATTTAGTCTTCTAACACAGGCATGGGCCAACTTAGGCCCTCCCTCCTTCCAGGTGTTCTGGACTCCAACTCCCACCATTCCTGGCCTCAGGCCCTTTCCTTTTCCCCCTTAAGCGGCTGAGGGGGGAAAGGAAGGGGCCTGAGGCCAGGAATGGTGGGAGTTGAAGTCCAAAACACCTGGAGGGAGGGAGGGCCCAAGTTGGCCCATGCCTGTTCTAACACAATTGTTATTAAAGAAAGGATGATAAGCAGGCAGCACCTGATGGGTCAAATGACAAAGAGTGCATTTTTTTGCAACTGCGCATTACATTCACCATGTTGTGGCTGAAATGTTCTCTGATGATGAAGATGATGGGATTCAGATTCCTGGCTCTTTTTCTGTGCCTCAGATCTTTGGGCCTGCTTCTAGGTCTTTTTCTGAGGCTCTCACAGACAGGGCAGAGTCAACACAGCAGTTCTCAGAAGAAAGGAATGTCAATAACGAAGTAGATAGCGAACAGGTGGAGAAGCCTTCCCACGCTGATACTGAAAGTGCAGAAAGTCTTGATAGTGACCAGATCCGGCAAGCTCGTCTTGATTTGCAGGTCAGGTAGAGTTCTCGCCTGGCCGGCAGACGAGAAGCCAGCTCGGGGAAAGGTCATCGCAATGCTTTCATGTTGGTGAGAGCATAATGTTTTCATGTTAACAAAAGGTATTTAGGCTTCTTGCAAACGGAGTGAAAGTGTCAGTTCAACGTAGCTTGTTAGCCTGGAAGCTCCATGGAATATCTTAGCTGGGAGGCAGCATGCCTGGGATTTCTTGCATTGTGATCTTGGGGCAATTGTTCCACGGTGTTTATACCATGGACTCTGTTTTGTACTTTGCCTAGAGGATTGTGCCTCTTGTTTTTACCTGAAGATCTTTGGAACTATATTCTGCTTTTAACCAAACTCTTTGGAACTTTGCAATGCTTATTCTTTGTTTTGACTTGGACTTTTTCCTCAATAAACTATAAAACTACAGCTCTTGTGTGGTGGTGTTTGGAAGCCAGGTGAAGCTTACTCTGAGTTGCAACACACCAGCAAACACTTTATTTGGCTTCAGGGTTTTGGAATGAGATTCGAGGGCGCATTAGACTCAAGTGAGCATACCTCTGACCCGTTCCTTTTTCTGCTTCTCTCTCTCTCTCTCTGGCATTGCAGGCGGTGCTGCGGACGGGAAGGTGTTCCGCTACAGCAAGGACCAGCGCCCCACCACGCTGCCCATCCAGCCCTTTGTCTTCCAGCACCACTTCCCCCGGCAGCCCAAAGCCCGGGCCCTTCAGAGCCACCTGGCCGCCAGCCTCTCCCAGCTCTACAGCCGCTCCTCTTCCGCTGGGCGCTGTGCCGCCGTGCACCAGCCTCACTCCGCTGCGTCCACCTCCGCGGCTGACCAGCCCATGCCCCAGCGCTCGGCCGACGGGGCCACCTGCCCCAAGAAGCCCCCACCGGTGATGGCAGTTGCCCCAGAGACCACGCGCCCCTCGCCACTGGGCAGCTACTCCCCCATCCGGAGCCACGGGGGGCCCTTCTTCCAGAGCAATGCTGCGGACTCTTCCTCCTCCTCCTCTTCGTCCTCTGTTTCGCTGCCCACCCCAGATGGCCACCCACCCCGCAGCCGCTCCTGCCCGGCTTCCGCCAATCTCCTGCCAGTCACCTCCGTCGCCGGGCCCTCTCCGGCCGCAGCGGGCCACAGTGCCAAGGAAGAGGGTCCTGCTCCTCTTTCCCGGAAGGACACAGCTCCGGAGTTTGAGATGGGAGAGGTGGGCTCCCTCCCACCCCTCCTCTTGGCTGGGGGGCTGGGCCTGGCCAGAGCAGGGGGGCCACACCCCGAAGCCCAATGGAAGGCCGGGTGCGGAGAGGCCCTCGTTGGCGTGGGACCCGTGGGCACCGTCCTCAGCCGGCCCCTCAATGGTGAGTGGGCATTTGGGGGTGGCTCAGCGGTCTGGGGGAGGCAGGTGGCCATCTGTTTGGGCACAATGAAGGGCAGTTGGATAATGTCATTGCCACCAAGGAAGACTGGATTATTTGGGGTATCGTATGGCGCAGTGGGTTAAAGCACTGAGCTGCTGAGCTTGTTGATCGAAAGGTCACAGTTCGATTCCGGGGAGCGGTGTGAGCTCCCACCGTTAGCCCTGTCTTCTGCCAACCTAGCAGTTCGAAAACATGCAAATGTGAGTAGATCAATAGGTACCGCTGCGGGAAGGTAACGGCGCTCCATGCAGTCATGCCGGCCACATGACCTTGGAGGTGTCTACGGACAACGCTGGCTCTTCGACTTAGAAATGGAGATGAGCACCACACCCCAGAGTCAGACATGACTGGACTTAATGTCAGGGGACTACCTTTACCTATACCCTGTGACGGGATAGAAATGGACCCCAATAAAGTACAGGATGTATTAGACTGGGAAGCACCCAAAACTAGAAGGCAGTTGCAAAGTTGTTTTGGGGTTTGCACCGAGGATGCCCCCAGTAGAATCCTGGGATTTGTCATGGGGTGCATGCAGTTCTCTATCCATCCCAGGATTCCCAGGGAGCAGCCATGACCGTCAGAGTGGGACCAGTATGCTCTAAATGTGTGGTGTGCAGGATTGCAGCAGCTAAGCACAGCATTCCTGGTTGTGTGTTTGCATGCAAGCAGCCCCCCCCCCCAGGGTCTCCATTCATGTGCTGCAGAATCCCCACCCACCCGCCTTGCAAAGGTATACCTGTATTGACTCAAGTCTAATGCGCCTTCGAATCTAATGCTCACCTCCACTTTCAAAACGCTGAAACTCGAAAATATATTTGTTGTTGAAAGTAATGCACAGCAACCAAGAAGTGCGCTCTCAGTAATTTGGGACATCAAGGCTTCCAAGCTTTGCTGTAGAATAGCAAAGGGTCCATCGATGTTGTAGACCAGGCCTGGGCAAACTTCGGCCCTCCAGGTGTTTTGGAGTGCAACTCCTACTATTCCTGGCCCAACGCTCCTTCCTTTTGCTTTCCTTTTCTGCTTAAGTGGATGCGGTGGGAATGGAAGGGGCCTGGGGCCAGGAATGGTGGGAGTTGGAGTCCAAAACACTTGGAGGGAGGGCCCAAGTTTGCCCATGCCTGATGCAGAATGCCTCAAGTGAATACAAACACATCAAAATAGTACAAGATAATGCACAGAAACACAAGTGGGTTAGCCATCATACCCATGGGTTGAAATGTCCTCCTCCTCCTCCTCCTCCTCTCCATACTCTAAAGTGCCTAAGTGCCCTTTCCATATATTTCTATTAGAACCAATTAGGAAAGAATGACAGTTATAAACCAGGAGCAAAAATAGTGTTACATAGTGTAATAATCTGTGCAGAACAGGCCTGGGCAAACTTGGGCCCTCCTTCCAGGTGTTTTGGACTTCAACTCCCACAATTCCCAACAAGCTACTGGGATTGTCGAAGGCTTTCATGGCTGGAATCACTAGGTTCTTGTGGGTTTTTTCGGGCTATAGGGCCATGTTCTAGAGGCATTCTCTCCTGACGTTTCGCCTGCATCTATGGCAAGCATCCTCAGAGGTAGTGAGGTCTGTTGGAACTAGGAAAAAGGGTTTATATATCTGTGGAATGACCAGGGTGGGGCAAAGGACTCTTGTCTGCTGGAGCTAGGTGTGAATGTTTCAACTGACCACCTTCATTAGCATTTGAAGGCCTGGCTGAGCCTGGGAAAATCTTTTGTTGAGAGGTGTTAAGATGTGCCTGGTTGTTTCCTCTCTGTTGTTTTGCTGTTGTAATTTTAGAGTTTTTTATACTGGTAGCCAGATTTTGTTCATTTTCATGGTCTCTTCCTTTCTGTTGAAATTGTCCACATGCTTGTGGATTTCAATGGCTTCTCTGTGTAGTCTGACATGGTGGTTGTTGGTGTGGTCCAGCATTTCTGTGTTCTCCAATAATATGCTGTGTCCAGGCTGGTTCATGTGGATGACACTTTCACCCTTTGGAGCCATGGAGAAGAAGAACTCAACAGGTTCCTGGACCATCTCAACAGCATCCACCCAAACATATGGTTCAGATATGTGGATGACACCTTCACCATTTGGAGCCATGGAGAAGAAGAACTCAACAGGTTCCTGGAACATCTCAACAGCATCCACCCAAACATATGGTTCAGAGATGTGGATGACACCTTCACCATTTGGAGCCTTGGAGAAGAAGAACTCAACAGGTTCCTGGAACATCTCAACAGCATCCACCCAAACATATGGTTCAGAGATGTGGATGACACCTTCACCATTTGGAGCCATGGAGAAGAAGAACTCAACAGGTTCCTGGAACATCTCAACAGCATCCACCCAAACATATGGTTCAGAGATGTGGATGACACCTTCACCATTTGGAGCCATGGAGAAGAAGAACTCAACAGGTTCCTGGACCATCTCAACAGCATCCACCCAAACATATGGTTCAGATATGTGGATGACACCTTCACCATTTGGAGCCATGGAGAAGAAGAACTCAACAGGTTCCTGGACCATCTCCACAGCATCCACCCAAACATATGGTTCAGATATGTGGATGACACCTTCACCATTTGGAGCCATGGAGAAGAAGAACTCAACAGGTTCCTGGACCATCTCAACAGCATCCACCCAAACATATGGTTCAGATGTGGATGACACCTTCACCATTTGGAGCCATGGAGAAGAAGAACTCAACAGGTTCCTGGACCATCTCAACAGCATCCACCCAAACATATGGTTCAGAGATGTGGATGACACCTTCACCATTTGGAGCCATGGAGAAGAAGAACTCAACAGGTTCCTGGACCATCTCAACAGCATCCACCCAAACATATGGTTCAGATATGTGGATGACACCTTCACTATTTGGAGCCATGGAGAAGAAGAACTCAACAGGTTCCTGGACCATCTCAACAGCATCCACCCAAACATATGGTTCAGAGATGTGAATGACACCTTCACCATTTGGAGCCATGGAGAAGAAGAACTCCACAGGTTCATGGACCATCTCAGCAGCATCCACCCAAACATATGGTTCAGATATGTGGATGACACCTTCACCATTTGGAGCCATGGAGAAGAAGAACTCAACAGGTTCCTGGACCATCTTAACAGCATCCACCCAAACATCCAGTTCACCATGGAAAAAGAAAATGAAGGAAGACTGCCTTTTCTAGATGTCCTAGTCATCCGCAAACCAGATCAACAATTGGGTCACACCGTTTACAGAAAACCCACACACACAGATAGATATCTACATAAAAACTCCAACCATCACCCAAGTCAAAAAAGAAGCACCATTAAAGCCTTGGCAGACCGTGCAAAAAGAATCTGCGAAGCCCACCTCCTCCAAGATGAACTGAACCACCTCAACTGGGCTCTCCAGGCCAATGGAGACTCCACCTCAGACATCAGAAGAGCTGCAAGACCAGAGAACAAGCCACGAGAGTCAAGACAAAGATCCACCCAGAGGAAAAGTGTTCCTGCCATACATCAAGGGAACCACTGACTGCATAGGGAAGCTGATGAGGAAACACAACATACAAACTATCTACAGACCCACCAAGAAAATCCAACAAATGCTACGTTCAGCAAAGGACAAGAGGGATCCTCTCACCTCTGCAGGAGTCTACCAGTTACCATGCAGCTGTGGACAAGTCTACTAGGGACCACCAAACGCAGCGCCCAGACACGCATCCAGGAACATGAAAGGCACTGCAGACTACTTCAACCAGAGAAGTCAGCCATAGCAGAGCACCTGATGAACCAGCCTGGACACAGCATATTATTTGAGAACACAGAAATGCTGGACCACTCTCACAACCACCATGTCAGACTACACAGAGAAGCCATTGACATCCACAAGAACATGTGGACAATTTCAACAGAAAGGAGGAGACCATGAAAATGAACAAATCTGGCTACCAGTATTAAAAAACTCTAAAATTACAACAGCAAAACAGCAGAGAGGAAACAACCAGGCACATCTTAACACCTCTCAACAGAAAATTTTCCCAGGCTCAGCCAGGCCTTCAAATGCTAATGAAGGTGGTCAGTTGAAACATTCACACCTAGCTCCAGCAGAGAAGAGCTCTTTGCCCCACCCCAGCCATCCACAGATATATAAACCCATTGTCCTAATTCCAACAGACCTCACTACCTCTGAGGATGCTTGCCATAGATGCAGGCGAAACGTCAGGAGAAATGCCTCTGGAACATGGCCCTATAGCCCGAAAAAACCCACAAGAACCTAAGCTACTGGGAGTTGGAGTCCAAAACACCTGGAGGGCCAAAGCTTGCCAAAGCCTGGTGCAGACCCATGCAGCTGCCTCCCCCCAACCCCAGCACCCTACCAGTCTCTTCCTCCTCCTGGCCCCCTCCCCGCTGCCCCCTTTCCCTGTGCAAACACTGACTTCTGGATCCGTACTAACACTGACCGTCTCCCCTCTTCTGTCCTCTTGCCTCCCTTGGCCCCTTCCCCCCTCCCTGCCTGTCTCTCTGTCTCTGTCTGTGTCTTTGCCCCCCCCCCCCCAATGGCAGCCCACCACCTCTCTCCGCAAGCCCTGAAGTGGCGGGAGTATCGCCGGCGGAACCCCCTGGGCCTGGGCCTGGGCCTGGACCGCGGCAGCAGCGGTGCTTCAGCGAGCGGCTTGGATGGGAAGCAGGCGCCGCCCGAGCCGGAGGGACGCCTCTCCCGGAGGAACCCCCTCTTTGAGCTCCCGGGAGCCCTGGGCGGGGGGCGGCCCTACGCCAGGCTCAACGGTGGGGGCACCTGCGTTCTATGGAATGGGGGGGGGGGGAGAGTTCTGGAATGGCATGACTTTTTAGATCATAACCTTTTGGGAAATGGAAATCTCCATAACCTTTTGGGAAATGGCATTGTTTACAATTTGGGAAAATCAGAAATCTCTCTGAGGAGAGTTGGAAGCTCACTTGAGTCAACCTTCTCCCTTGTGGTAAATATCTGTTAGCATTTATGCAAGGCAAGCTTCTCAGACTGATAGACCGAGCTATCTCTTTGAACTGTTAGGGACAAAGATATGCCAGTGCACAAAATCGTGTTAATGTGTGTGTGTATGCATGCGTGTATGTGTGTATCTATATAAATAAAAATGTAATGTTCATTTGTGGAATTTGAGTAATTCAAAAACCACTGGACAAATGGACACCAAATTTGGACATAATACACCTCTCAGGCCAACAAGTGACCATCACTCATAAAAACACTGAAAAACATAACAGAAGGGACTTAAAAAGCAAAAAAAAACCCATTATGATGCATGCGCAAAACCATATCTATCTATCAATCTATCTATCTATCTATCTATCTATCTATCTATCTATCTATATATATATATATATATATATGCAAACACACATTTACACACGTATGCACAAATATATACACAGATTGGGCTACAGCAACACATGGCAGGAGACAATATATATATGCCATCTAATCACCACTCAACAAAAGATTCCCCCAGGCACTGCCAGGCAATCAAATGCTAATCAAGGTGATCAGTTGAAACATTCACACCTAGCTCCAGCAGACAAGAGTCCTTTGTCCCACCCTGGTCATTCCACAGATATATAAACCCATTTTTCCTAGTTCCAACAGACCTCACTACCTCTGAGGATGCTTGCCATAGATGCAGGCGAAACGTCAGGAGAGAATGCCTCTAGAACATGGCCATATAGCCCAAAAAACTACAATAACCCAGAACATTACATTTTTATTTATAGAAATTTTTCATCCCAGAAGGGTCCTTTTGGGGGTGGGATCTGCACGGGGCACCTGTTCCCTCTGCGGCTTGCGCAAGAGACCGGGTCTGGATCATGCGTCAGTGTTGTGTAGCGTCAGCTTTCGCACGTGGAGTGAATCTCCTAACTGTGCAATGCAAACCAAAAGGTCAGTGTTGCGCCACTGGGCCAAGGCTCCACCTCGGTGACCGAATGCCCCCCGGAAGGTGCACGCCTGGTCACCAGCATTGCCTGGAGCAAGACATTATGTAAACACAGAGTCCTTTCAGTCTGGATTGGTTTGCAAAGGGATATTAATTGTAGCATCTCAGAGAAGAAGGGAAACATGTTTGTAGCATGCAAGACAGCTTTGCAACATGCATCATGTAAACACAGAGTCCTTTCAGTCTGGATTGGTTTGCAAAGGGATATTCATTGTAGCATCTCAGAGAAGAAGGGAAACATGTTTGTAGCATGCAAGACAGCTTTGCAACATGCATCATGTAAACACAATCCTATCAGTCTGGATTGGTTTGCAAAGGGATATTAATTGCAGCATCTCAGAGAAGAAAGGAAACATGTTTGTAGCATGCAAGACAGCTTTGCAACATGCATCATGTAAACACAGAGTCCTTTCCGTCTGGATTGGTTTGCAAAGGGATATTAATTGCAGCATCTCAGAGAAGAAGGGAAACACGTTTGTAGCATGCAAGACAGCTTTGCAACATGCATCATGTAAACACAGAGTCCTATCAGTCTGGATTGGTTTGCAAAGGGATATTAATTGTAGCATCTCAGAGAAGAAGGGAAACATGTTTGTAGCGTGCAAGACAGCTTTGCAACATGCATCATGTAAACACAGAGTCCTTTCAGTCTGGATTGGTTTGCAAAGGGATATTAATTGCAGCATCTCAGAGAAGAAGGGAAACATGTTTGTAGCATGCAAGACAGCTTTGCAACATGCATCATGTAAACACAGAGTCCTATCAGTCTGGATTGGTTTGCAAAGGGATATTAATTGTAGCATCTCAGAGAAGAAGGGAAACATGTTTGTAGCGTGCAAGACAGCTTTGCAACATGCATCATGTAAACACAGAGTCCTTTCAGTCTGGATTGGTTTGCAAAGGGATATTCATTGTAGCATCTCAGAGAAGAAAGGAAACATGTTTGTAGCATGCAAGACAGCTTTGCAACATGCATCATGTAAACACAGAGTCCTTTCCGTCTGGATTGGTTTGCAAAGGGATATTAATTGCAGCATCTCAGAGAAGAAGGGAAACATGTTTGTAGCATGCAAGACAGCTTTGCAACATGCATCATGTAAACACAGAGTCCTTTCAGTCTGGATTGGTTTGCAAAGGGATATTAATTGCAGCATCTCAGAGAAGAAGGGAAACATATTTGTAGCGTGCAAGACAGCTTTGCAACATGCATCATGTAAACACAGAGTCCTTTCCGTCTGGATTGGTTTGCAAAGGGATATTCATTGTAGCATCTCAGAGAAGAAGGGAAACATGTTTGCAGCAAATGCTTTTGTAGACATTAGATACATAATGAAGGAAAGCTGATGCTACAAACTTCCAAGGTGCTACAGTATCCCAAGTGTATACATTACAACCATACATTGTATTTGAGTCATATATTATTACATGTGGGATGTTTAGGCTGTCAAAATGTTCTTGCATTCAATCCCTCTCTGATAGGCATGGGCCAACTTGGGTCCTCTCTCCAGGTGTTTTGGACTCCAACTCCCAGCATTCCTAACAGCCTCAGGCCCTTTCCTTTTCCCCCTCAGCCGCTTAAGCGGCTGAGGGGGAAAAGGAAGGGGCCTGAGGCTGTTAGGAATGCTGGGAGTTGGAGTCCAAAACACCTGGAGTGAGGGTCAAAGTTGGCCCATGCCTGATCTATGAGGTCCATCTTGTGCCGGTTGTGAAGGCGCCCTTTAACCTGCCCGCCCTTTCCTGCTTGACCCTTTGCAGGACACTCGGTGAAGCAGCTGCAGCTCAACTACTCGGACTTCTTCCCGGACTACTTCTCTTTGGCCGAAAAGCCCCCGGCCGAGTTCTGCCTCTCACCGGACGGAAACACCGAGTCCATCTCTATTGATCTGCTGCAGAAGAAGGGTACGTAATGGGGGGTCCGGACGCTGCTTGGCCATGGTCCCTCTCTTCCTCTTTCTTTCCTTCTCTGGGGAGTGTTGGGGGACTGGCTTTCCACCTGCCCCCAGCCTCCTTTGCCCTGGAAGAATGGGTGGGCTTTCCCTTGGGCCCTTGGTGGGGGGCCACGTCTTGCTGGAATGGGGACGAAGGAGCCAAGAGGTCCCCTGGGTTGCTCTGCCCTTCTCTGCCAGTTTGTGCCAGGCTCGTTGTGTCTTTCCAGGTCTCGTCAAGGCGGTCAACATGGCGGTGGATCTGATTGTGGCTCATTTTGGGACCAGCCGAGACCCCGGCGTGAAGGTGAGGCCAGCATTGACCTCTCCCAGCCTCCCTTCCCTTTGCCTTTGGCCTCGGCGGGATTGTTTATTTGGCCGGTTGCTTCAAGGTTCTCTGCGTCCTTCAATAGGGAATGGATCTGGGCCCAGCATCCTTGTGGGGATGGATAATAATAATAATAATAATAATAATAATAATAATAATAATGTATTGTCGAAGTCTTTCATGGCCGGAATCACTGGGTTGTTGTTCGGTTTTTTGGGCTCTATAGCCATGTTCTAGAGGCATTTTCTCCTGACGTTTCGCCTGCATCTATGGCAAGCATCCTCAGAGGTTGAGAAGGTCTGTTGGAACCCTAAACGACTCCGGCCCAGTTTACCTGTCCGAAAGTATTCTCCCCTATGAACCATCTAGGTTGTTAAGATCGTCTGGAGGGGCTCTGCTCTCGGTCCCACCGGCCTCTCAGGCGTGTCTGGTGGGGACGAGGGACAGGCCTTCTCAGTGGTGGCCCCTCGACTCTGGAACTCTCTCCCACTGGAGATCAGAACTGCCCCCTCCATTCTGTCGTTCAGAAAACGGGTGAAAACCTGGCTATGGGGTTTGGCTTTCGACGAGTGAATCAATATTTCTGTGATCGGATAGATGACGATGAAGGATGGACAACGAATTCACGATGACGACTGACCATTGTTATTATGGGATTGCATTTTGCTGTTATAACGTTTTAATTGAATACGTCATATGATGTTTTTAATGATTGTTTTGTGATTTTATTGTTGGAAACTGGCCCGAGTCCCCCGATAGAGAGGAGAAGAAGACCGGGATACAAAATGGCTCAATAAATAAATAAAATTATATATCTGTGGAATGACCAGGGTGGGACAAAAGACTGTTGTTTGCTGGAGCTAGGTGTGAATGTTTCAACTGACCAACTTGATTAGCATATAACAGTCTGACAGTGCCTGGAGCAATCTTTTGTTGAGAGGTGATTAGATGGACAAACAAAGGACAAGAGGGATCCTCTCACTTCTGCAGGAGTCTACCATGTGTCCAGAGGAGAGCGACTAAAATGATCAAGGGTCTGGAGAACAAGCCCTATGAGGAGCGGCTTAAGGAGCTGGGCATGTTTAGCCTGAAGAAGAGAAGGCTGAGAGGAGATATGATGAGGGCCATGTATAAATATGTGAGAGGAAGCCACAGGGAGGAGGAGGGAGCAAGCTTGTTCTCTGCTTCCCTGGAGACTAGGACGCAAAGGAGGAATGGCTTCAAACCACAAGAGAGGAGATTCCATCTGAACATGAGGAAGAACTTCCTGACTGTGAGAGCCGTTCAGCAGTGGAACTCTCTGCCCCGGAGGGAGTGTGGTGGAGGCTCCTTGTTTGGAAGCTTTTAAGCAGAGGCTGGATGGCCATCTGTCAGGGGTGCTTTGAATGCAATATTCCTGCTTCTTGGCAGAATGGGGTTGGACTGGATGATGATGGCCCAGGAGGTCTCTTCCAACTCTTGGATTCTAGGATTGATTCTATGTACCATGCAGCTGTGGACAAGAAGTCTCCATAGGGACCCCCAAACGCAGCAGCTTTGCCCAGGCACGAATCAAGGAACATGGAAGGCACTGCAGACTCCTTCAGCCAGAGAAATCAGCCATAGCAGAGCACCTGAGGAACCCACCTGGACACTGCAGATTATTATTTGAGAACACGGAGATGCTGGACCACTCTCACAACCACCATGTCAGGCTACACAGAGAAGCCACTGAAATCCACAAGAAGAGGGTGGACAATGTCAACAGAAAGGAGGAGACCATGAAGATGAACAAGATCTGGCTACCAGTATTCAAAAACTCTAAAATTACAACAGCACAACAACAGAGAGGAAACAATCAGGGACATCTAATCACCTCTCAACAAAGGATTGCTCCAGGCACTGCCAGGCAATCAAATGCTAATCAAGGTGATCCGTTGAAACATTCACACCTAGCTCCAGCAGACAAGAGTCCTTTGTCCCACCCTGGACATTATTCCACAGATATATAAACCCTTTTTCCTAGTTCCAACAGACTACACTACCTCTGAGGATGCTTGCCATAGATGCAGGCGAAACGTCAGGAGAAAATGCCTCTAGAACATGGCCATATAGCCCGAAAAAATCTACAATAACCCAGTGATTCCGGACATGAAAGCCTTCGACAATACAAAAAAAAAAGGTGTTGGAAGAGACCTCCTGGGCCATCCTCCAGTCCAACCCCATTCTGCCAAGAAGCAGGAATATTGCATTCCAATCACCCCTGACAGATGGCCATCCAGCCTCTGTTTAAAAGCTTCCAGAGAAGGAGCCCCCACCACACTCCAGTGCAGAGAGTTCCACTGCTGAACGGCTCTCACAGTCAGGAAGTTCTTCCTCATGTTCAGATGGAATCTCCTCTCTTGTAGTTTGAAGCCATTTTTCCATTGCGTCCTAGTCTCCATGGAAGCAGAAAGGAAGCTTGCTCCCTCCTCCTCCTCCCTGTGGCTTCCTCTCACATATTTACACATGGCTATCATCATATCTCCTCTCAGCCTTTTCTTCTTCAGGCTAAACATGCCCAGCTCCTTAAGCCGCTCCTCATGGGGCTTGTTCTCCAGACCCTTGATCATTTTAGTGGTCCTCCTCTGGACACATTTCACTTGTCAATATGTCTCTTGAATTGTGGTGCCCAGAATTGGACACAATATTCCAGGTATGGTCTCACCAAAGCGGAATAGAGCATGGGGAGCAGGACTTCCCTAGATATAGACCCTAGACTCCTCTTGATGCCTGAGGCCAAAATCCCATTGGCTTTTTTTGCCACCACATCACATCACATCATGTTTAACTTGCTGTCCACAAGGACTCCAAGATCTTTTTCTTGGTGCCCAGATCTGGACACAATATTCCACAACAACAATAATAATAATTTTTATACCCCACCCATGTGGGGGTCCCTCGTTGCAGGCCATGGAGAGGGGAAGCCCCTTTCTGTGGCCGTTTCCCAGACCAGGGCATTTTGGGACAAGTGTTAAGAAGATGAAGAGTGCCAATGGGAGCCTCTTGGACCCCTGGACTCCATCCTCTGGCCCAGTCCTGGCGGTGCTCTTGAAAGCAGGGCGGTCACTCTGCTCTCCCTCTCTGTGCACGCTCTGGACGGGTCCAGGTTTTCCAGGGAGGCTTGGCACCCCTTCCTCTTAATTCCTGGAAAGACCGCCGGGCAGCAGCGCAGCCTGACCTGGCCTTTTGGCTTAAGGAGGAGCATGGGGGGGGGGGGGATGCTGAGTCTTGTTTATTTATAGTAATCCCAGGGATTTACATCCCTCAACGACGCCGCCAGCAAACACCGGCTGAGCTGCCCTTAACTCTTTGGGCCCGGCTCTTGCCTTCGGCCTGGGAACCTGGGCACAGCCTTGCCCTTTGGGGTCATCTCCTTATTATTCAGTTGGGGAAAGGGTAAAATAGATACAGCAGCAGTTCAAGGGGATAGAAGCAGCCAAGGAGGAGCCTCAGCTGCTTTGAGGAGCAGGGTGGCGGTTGTTGTTGTTGTTGTTGTTGTTGTTGTTGTTGTTGTTGTGTGCTGGCAAGTAATTTCCAATGTATGGCAACCCTATGATGACCCAATTGCAGGGGTTTCTTGGCAAAGCTTTTGTTCAGAGCAGCTTTGCCCTTTCCTCCCTCTGAGGCTGAGAGAGTGTGGCTTGCCCAGGGTCATTGCCCAGAAAGGGGGGGGGGGTCTGTATGGCTGAGAAAGTATTGGTTCAGCAAAGAAACCATTCCAGAAAATGGAAGGAAACTCAGAGGAAGGGTTGGGTTATAAATAAATTATTATTATTATTATTATTATTATTATTATTATTATTATTATTGCTACTACTACTAGCTGTACCCGCCGTGTGTTGCTGTGGCCAACCTTCCCTCCCGCTTTCTATACTCCTTTCTTTCTCTCCTTCCTTTTTTCCCTCCCTCTTTCCTTCCTTCCCTTTTTTCTTTCCTTCTCTTCCTTCCTTCCTTCCTTCCTTCCTTCCTTCCTTCCTTCCTTCCTTCCTTCCTTCCTTCCTTCCTTCCTTCCTTCCTTCCTTCCTTCTCTTCCTCTTCCCTTCTTTCCCCCCTTTTCTTTCCCTTCCTCTTTCCCCCCTTTCTTCCTTCTCTACCTATTCTTGGACTGCAACTCCCAGCAGTCCTCCTGATCTATCTATCTATCTATCTATCTATCTATCTATCTATCTATCTATCTATCTATCTATCTATCTATCTACCTATCTATCTACCTACTCTACCTATCTATCTATCTATCTATCTATCTATCTATCTATCTATCTATCTATCTACCTACCTACCTACCTATCTATCTATCTATCTATCTATCTATCTATCTATCCATCTACCTACCTACCTACCTACCTATCTATCTATCTATCTATCTATCTATCTATCTATCTACCTACTTACCTACCTACCTACCTCTATCTATTAGGCCTGGGTAACAACGGAAAAATTTGTTTCTAAAATCGATTTGTAATTGGGGTGTTTTTTTGTTTCGATATTTAAAATAATTACAAAATTTTCCCTTAAAAAAGTTCGGTATTTACGAAATTTCGTAAATATTTACAAAACATTTTGTAAAGATGGCGCCCTTTTTTTTTCAATATTTTTTTAATTTAATTATTAATTTAGTAGAATAGGGAGGAGAAATTATTATTAAGGAGGGAAGGCAGGCACTCACTCTGGCGGGCCCTCAAGCGCTGCCGCCGAGTCGGGCCCGGCTCCTCCGAAGCTAAGGTTTCAGTGCGGAATTGGGAGAAGGGGGTCCCCAAAGGCCATCTAGTCCAGCCCTCTGCTAAGGTTTCAATGCGGAATTGGAGGAAGGGGCTCCCCAAAGGCCATCTAGTCCAGCCCCCTCCTAAGGTTTCAATGCGGAATTGGGAGAAGGGGCTCCCCAAAGGCCATCTAGTCCAGCCCTCTGCTATGGTCTCAATGCGGAATTGGGAGAAGGGGCTCCCCAAAGGCCATCTAGT